CAATCTTAAGATCTTTACTGGGTTGTGTAGCCAAATGTCTATGTATCCCCAACCCCTTGACCCCTGTATGACTGCTGAATTCTGTAAACTAGTTGTGTGTGATTTTTTCTTAAGGTGTTTAAGCTTGTTTAGTACTCCAACCTCTTTTCAAACAATCTTTGTTGCTTTACTAATTGCTTTCAAAACAGACTTTCCAATACAGTCTTTAATAACCCTTTTCAACTTGTGTCCTGCACTTCCACTTTACTCTTAGTCAATAAGTTCTGCCCCCTCTAGTATGTGTACTGCCTTGGGATCCTCTTGAGAGTCCTCTGAACTCTGGCATACTGAGGCTGGCCTTTCCACACTGCACTGGTTCAATTCTTGGTTGCTAAGACTAGGTGTAAGCATTGCTCGGGGTTCTTGAGGCCCTTAGGGAACTTTGATGCACCTAGACTCTGAGTTGTCTATGGAATTGAGGTTTATGAGACCATTGGAGGCTTTGGGAAACTCGGGCCTAATTGAAGGCTCCCTATAGAATAGCTTCTTGATTTTCTATTTTACTTATGTAATTCATTCATTGGCCTGTAATAATTTGTGAACAGATATTTGGGGCATTTAGTGAAAACGGTGGGTAGATGTATACTTTATGGGGTAATATGGGTAGAAATCCTGCTCTTAGGATCTCACTTTTAAAATCTGCCTGCTTTACTCAATAGAAAACATGCTCATAGGGATTTATGCTTTTAAATCTGATTGCTTTGCCTAATGGAAATCATGTCTATAGGATCTCACTTCTAATTTGGTTTGCATCAGTAGAAATCATGTTCCTAAGGTTCTGCATTTTGTCATATTAAAAACCATGTTCATAGGCTCCAAACCATCATGTCTTAAATCAGTAGATGCCATGCCTATAGGACTCAACTCCGATTCAGTTTTAATAAGTCTTTCTGTATGTTGCTGTAAATCGACTAAAATCAGTACTACGCCTAGATATCATGCCTATAGGGATCTATACTCGCAATTCTGTCTGGTAATTTAATTCAGCCTAATAAATCAATTTCATTACGCCTAGTTCATTTCTAAAGCTGGTCTTACTAAGCGTTAACATTTTCTGAAACAAGTTCTTTCAAAATTGCATCGATCCCATTAGATACCATGCTTATAGAAATTAAAGGAGTCTATCTCGAAAACCTGTTGTTTCTGCATTAATATAGACACAGTATACTGCATATAGGCAAGCCTTAGTGCATTTTCAAAATTGCATTCCCCTGAAGATCTTTCTCCGTCGTTTATTTTTTTTTTATTCTAATAACTTTTAAAAGAGTCCTTAGGCAACTACTAGGGTATAATTTCTGAACCCTAAAGGGTTTGTTGGTTTCTGCATGGTCACCTGGAGATCCTGCTTTAGGACTTTGATTGATAAAGACCTTAACTGTGTTTGAGTCGTGTTGCTTGTATGTTTACTCGACGAGGAAATTTTGAGCCTCTTATCTGCTTCCATTATGTGTAAAGTCCTACATGTTTTGACTGTCGCCTTAGACTTTTGCCCTTTTAAAACCTTAGGGGTACGTCTAGAACCACCTATAGGTAGAGGTCCTAACTCCCTCCAAGACCATTAAGAAGGGACGGGTAGCAGCACACAATAGAGATCGCTGACCA